CGTTGGGGCCATAACGTTTCTCGCCACCTGGGAGTCTGAAATACAAAAAAATCCGCGATTCAGTAAATTTATGATGTAAGATTTTCAATATATAACGGAAGATTAAAAGTTTTCATCCTACCTAATGACTAAATGAAGTGTAGACATTCCTGTTATATTATAGTGCCCTGCTGTATTGTGATCTTCGAGTTGTTTTCCGGCAAAAATAAGACGTTGTTCCCTGGCATCTATACCTATCTTTTCTTCAACCATTTTCTTTATTTTCTTAATCCTGGAGATAACAAAAGAAAAATTTTTAGTATTGTACCAGGCCTAACTGTTTTCATTTTCGTTTCACTAATTATCTTTACCTAGTCTGGGGAGTAATATCATTATATGTAGTTGTCTCTCCTCTGAGGCCCCTAACAAATATTTGAAAACTCATTTTCACGTCAGAATAGAGTACTGTTTGCTGTAAGAAAACCTATGTTGAGGGCTTTATAAAAGTTAATGTGATGGATTTTGGTGGTTTTTATTTGATCTTTTTAGTTGACAAAATTAGATTGATGTAATAATTACTTGAAGTTGATAAATGAAATTTCCTTGAAAACGACAAACAATATATTGTTAGAAGTAAAAATAATTTCGGCTTTTAGACTACTGTATAGACTTTGCACTTGTTAGGCTCTACCACAGCTATTTTAGATTACTGTGTGGACTTTGCACTCATTAGACTATATCACGGCTATCTTAGACTTTGTTCCTAAAGTATCGTGTATTGCAGGTATAGACGAGGTCATAATTATATAAACATTACTGTTAATATTAAATTAGTGAAAAATTAAATTGTTGAAGAAAATTTATCGATCAATATAAATAGTAAAACTTGGAATTATAAACATAAAGCTCTAGTTTAATTTGTTGAGTGTAAAAAAATTTTTTTTAATTAATTTAAGATCATATGCATAACTGGATATCAATAAAAATTATTAGCAATGTAGTATACTGTATTAATATTAATAAAATATTTTAATTTGTATTTAAATAATTAAAATAAATGATATGTATTTTTTATAATCTATGATTTTTGTTATTATCTTTATAAGAAATGGATAACTGATATATTAAGGTTGCAAAAAATAATAATAATCCATTTTCAACTCCATTATTTTTGTTGTTTTTTAATTTAAACAAAAGAAACAATATCTGATTTATTTATTATTTATAATATAAAAAAACAAAAGGATATTACAAACGGTTTAAATTATAAAAGAAAATATAATATTATATAAAAAGTTTTGTTAATAATAACTTAGATCTTACAGATATTCAATCTGTAATAAAAAAAATATGTCTATTAATAAATTTTTAAATTTGAAGCTATGACTATTAAATATAAAAAAAAAAACAAAAATAATAACAATATTACCTTAAAAATAAGATATTAATGTAATAAGATATTATTAATTTATATAATAAAACTATTAAATAGAAAAAACAAATATTTATATTTAGAACAATAAATAATATTTTAATTTTTAAATACAAGTCTCTAGTTTGATATTAATAGAAAGAAAAATATAATATTTTTTTCTTAATATATAGATGAATTAATATTTTATACATACAGGTATATGTTTCTTTTATTATTTTTTATTATTATAAAAGAAATTAAATGCAAAACTTTATTAAATATATATATTGATATATGAATTATATCAAACATTTTTATACAATATAATGTGCAAGTTAATATTAACCTATTTATGGTACTAACTATTAATATTCTTATTACATTTGATGTACCTTGAATTGATTCTGGTGTTGAATAGTTAACACTCTTCCAAAGCTAAGATGAGTTTTTATAACTTAAATAAACTACTAGACTTAATAGATCGTATGTCTATAATAAGTAGGGCTCCTAATGATACCACTTCGATACCAGTTCGATACTTAAATTTATTATAAAAACATATGAGTAGGTCACAACCCATGTATTAAATTTACTATAGATCAGTACCATTTCAATACCAGTTCGATACCAGTTCAGTACTTTTTCGGAACCCTAATAATAAGTATAATCTACTAAAGTAGAATTTTGTCTTGTATAGCATTTAGTACTGATTTATCATTATTTTTGCTAATATTATTATTTTTTCTCTTGTATGATTTGCTAGAATATTTGTTTCATTTGATCCTTGAGACTATTAAGGTATTTGCTATTGCCAACCTTGATAAATATATAAGGGTATAAAGAAGTTATTTTATATATGTTTAATTAATTAATTTTTTTATATTTAATTAAATTATATAAAAACAAGACTTTTGCCTTTCTATTTATTTAAAAATAAAATAATTATTTAAAAAATTATATAATAAAAAAACCAAACTCAAACAATTATTTTATTATTTAAAAACAATTCAATAGATTATGGAAAAAAACTTTTTAATATTGAATTATTTTAATTTAATTTTTGATTACATAATCTAAAGTTACAAATAATAAAAACAATGTATTGTTTTTTTTGGTTTTAAAGCAAAAAGTATTAAAGTATTATATTGTTTTATTAATTTTTATATAATAAAGATATTTTTATAATAATGCAATTATAATCAAATCTAAATTAAATTAAATAATTTAAAATAATAATAATTTTTTTAAAAAAATATAAATAGTATTAAATATAAATTTTATTTATACATGCAATTGTTCATTATATCAAACATTATTTGTAATATATAATTATAATCAAATATTGATCTATTAACTTTTTTGTTCATCTAATACCTAGAAATTTAATACTTAATGACTTTTTCTTATGATACCAAAATACTATAGAAATAGAAATCCTATTACTAGTTTTAAACTATATAACCTATAGAGCTTATCATATATTTTATTATATATATATTGCTGAAATTCATAGATCCTTAATGCAATTAACACAATTATTTGACGTAATTAATTGAGTCACTATTAAAACATATAAATAATTGAGTCATGATATAATTATTTTTAAGAATTTTAGAAATTGAGTCAATAGCAAATAATTTATACCACATGTATATTTTATTATATATACTATTAATTATCAATATATAAGTTATCTATTATATTATACCTTTTCATTTATATAGTATATGCAATAGTAGAAACCTTTAACATAAGTATGTACTTCCTAGTAAATGCTCTGGTTTTAACTACTGATTAAACAATATCAAATCCAGGAGCTATATAATCAAGTAAAATATAATTTCTTAAAAATTTATTTATTTTTTTTTTTAAAGTAGGTAAACATTATTTCTTTATTTTATTTGTATATAACAAGGTATACATTGTGAAAGAAACAACATCTCTTATATGTTGATATAATGAGTTAAATGCTAGCTTGCCTACAGTAACCATATGACTAATATTGAAAAAAAAGTTTAAAACAATATATTTTACCATGTGGCACTGAGCAGCTATAAATACCTACTCAGTATTAGAAGGGATGGTGTTTGGAAGAGATGGGATTAATTTTTAAATATATTTGTTATGGTTATAATTATATGGAATAAAAGAGTTAGTGACAATTGTTGGTAGGTCTATGATGGTTTCGTTTTGGATATTATTGGAGTGTGAGTTTTCGCTAGAAGCGGTATTGTTTCTTTTTGATTTGGCTGAATTGGTAGTATTAAGTAATTCATTTGGTTTTCATTTGCCTGTAAGGAGCGAGGTGTTCAGATTGAATTATACAGTTGGGTTAGAGATTCGGTTGACGCCTTGACCCAGTTGGTGGTATCTGTTATGGAGAATATTCTATCGGTGATGCCACATGACAGTTTCACAACTTGCCATATGTGAGAGATTGGTCTGGAATTTTTGTCTGGATAAAGAATTTGGTTGATGTTATTTATGATTTGACTGGCCTCTTCTGAGGCTTCAGGACATTTGAAGACGTGCTGGATGTCTTCAGTGCGGAGTTCACATCTTGGGCAACACCTATTTGAGTATTGATCAGGATGATGTTGATGGAGCATTTGATGGGTTGGGAGTGTTTCTGAGAGGAGTTTGATTCTGAATTCTATTAGGTTGCTATAGCTATTGTTGTATATCCTTTTGATATTTTTATTGGACTGATTAATAATTTTTAAACCATATGGGGTATGACGCCATTCAAAAGTTTGGAGAACTGAGGTGCTTTCACAAATTATATAATTTCTGGTAATACTGAAGATTTTTTTGCACCATCTGACACTGCTGCCTAAGCATGTGTTGTTGATTAGAGGGCTCTCTGTGAAGTGTGGTGAGTGGTTGCTTCATTGGATTGTCTTGTTTGTAAATGGTCTGGACTTGGATTTGGTATATATGACTTCTATTGACTTTTGTTTCAGGACTTGGTTTATTTGCTGGATTAGAAAAAAAAAGTTAATTTTGACCATTCTTCTCAGATGAATTGTTACTGATTGAAGAATTTTTTTGTTATTTCTGATTTCAATAGTATTGCACTGGGAGCTCTATTGAGTAATGTCGAGTATCGCTAGTAGAATATTGCCAGGAGTTAAGCAGGCATTAGAGAGTTCTATCTTGCACTTGTTGATAACTAGATAGTTTTTATAAGATTGGATATGGTAGTGTTGATGATGTCCCACTTCTTGAAGTGATGCTTTGAGAGATGAGTTGTTGTTGATGTTGATTGATTGAAGAGTTTGTTCGCTTCTGCGTGATAAGTTGATGATTTCGTCAATAATGTTTAATAGTTGATACTTGTTGATGCTGAATAGATTGAGAGATACCCATAAAGTTGATGCTGTTGAGCTTGTGAATGTTATTTAGCAAAAGCCATATGATTGTATACTAGCTGGGCATCCTGGACACCAGAGGAGGTTGTTAGTTGGATTTATTGTGAAATGCTTCCCTTTGAGCATCATTCCTTCTTGCACTGATGATCATCTCTTGTGAATTTTAACTATTGCATTTGAGCTGTGTATAAACCAAAATGTTGCTCTGGGAAACTAAAATTGTTATATTTTTCAATAAGTAATTGTATAATTAATATATAAAAATTTTATAAATAATTATAATATAAAAATTATATTAAAAAAACTCTCACCCGTTCACCACTGATTTCTTGAAAATTTCCTTATATGGTAATTTTCTTGAAAGAAGCACTT